AATGGCATCCAAAGGGCCAAGCGAGAGTTCATCCAGCAACTCAAATTTGGGCGTGGGCCAAAAATAGCGCGACCCCAAAAAGGGTTGCCCTGGCAAAAGGAAAGGAACCAAGGACTACACCCCAATAGCTCCATGGTGACTACTTTTTGACCCACCAACTTCTTCCGCCGGGACTCTTCGGGGTCGGCCCAAAGAGTAGGTCTCTAAACAGGGGGGAGATCACCTGGCGCGTATGAGGTCAAAATTAAACCAGGATATGGACCGCAGGTTTTGGTTCATGTTTCCATTTATCAGGGTTCCCATTTTGGGTTTACCCTATTTTTGACCCACAGACATGTTCCCATGACCGTTTCAAGGAAACCTTAGGATCCAATCGACGGAACTTCACGAATCGAATCGGAACCTCGATTGGGGGGCTTGGCGGGACCCATCGCTTCGGGCTGTCGCTCAAAAGACCCATGTGCAGCGGGCATCCGTATAAAAACCACAAGGAGACTGGGAGAGCTTACACTGGGCTGCGCGAGAGCAGATCTGCTGAAAATCAAAAGCTTGTGGGTTAAGCGGACACCCAAGCACCTTTCACCAACTTAAGAACCCAAAACCGTACGCCTGGGAACCGCCAAGTATTTTGAGCCAGCCCCATGGGTCCAAGACCCGCCATCCCAAGTCCATTCAGATCCGCCATGGGCTGAAAATGTGTCAAATGACCACCAGATGGTGCTTTGTGCTTTCCCAAAACCAAAGACGGCACCGAGCCGACCCAAAGACACCCAGCCAACCCAACCTGGTTGCTGACGTTTGCTTTTTTACGCGGCTTTTTCAAGCTTTGAGGCCCTATCCTGAGACCTACGCGGGACACAAAAACCTCTCAGACCGCTCGGCCGAAACGTCCGAGGCTGAAGCACCGGAGGTGCCGAAGGCGACCCAACCTGAGATCCAGCTGAAAAATCCGAGCTGAAAATGAGGCAGCTGCCTAAAACCCCAGGTGCGATCGCCAGGTTTTTTCCATGTCACTTTATTCACTTTACCCCAAAAACCGATCGCAAGAGTCACTGGAAAAAAGCGATCGCCTGATGGTTTCCATGTCACTTTATTCACTTTACCCCAAAAACCGATCGCAAGAGTCACTGGAAAAAAGCGATCGCCAGGTTTTGTCCATGTCACTTTATTCACTTTACCCCAAAAACCGATCGCAAGAGTCACTGGAAAAAAGCGATCGCCTGGTTTTTTCCATGTCACTTTATTCACTTTACCCCAAAAACCGATCGCAAGAGTCACTGGGAAAAAGCGATCGCCTGGTTTTTTCCATGTCACTGTATTCACTTTACCCCAAAAACCGATCGCAAGAGTCACTGGAAAAAAGCGATCGCCAGGTTTTTTCCATGTCACTTTATTTACTTTACCCCAAAAACCGATCGCAAGAGTCACTGGGAAAAAGCGATCGCCTGGTTTTTTCCATGTCACTGTATTCACTTTACCCCAAAAACCGATCGCAAGAGTCACTGGAAAAAAGCGATCGCCAGGTTTTTTCCATGTCACTTTATTCACTTTACCCCAAAAACCGATCGCAAGAGTCACTGGAAAAAAGCGATCGCCAGGTTTTTGTCCATGTCACTTTATTCACTTTACCCCAAAAACCGATCGCAAGAGTCACTGGAAAAAAGCTATCGCCAGGTTTTTTCCATGTCACTTTATTCACTTTACCCCAAAAACCGATCGCAAGAGTCACTGGGAAAAAGCGATCGCCTGGTTTTCACTGGAAAAAAGCGATCGCCAGGTTTTTTCCATGTCACTTTATTTACTTTACCCCAAAAACCGATCGCAAGAGTCACTGGAAAAAAGCGATCGCCAGGTTTTTGTCCATGTCACTTTATTCACTTTACCCCAAAAACCGATCGCAAGAGTCACTGGAAAAAAGCTATCGCCAGGTTTTTTCCATGTCACTTTATTCACTTTACCCCAAAAACCGATCGCAAGAGTCACTGGAAAAAAGCGATCGCCAGGTTTTGTCCATGTCACTTTATTCACTTTACCCCAAAAACCGATCGCAAGAGTCACTGGAAAAAAGCGATCGCCTGGTTTTTTCCATGTCACTTTATTCACTTTACCCCAAAAACCGATCGCAAGAGTCACTGGAAAAAAGCGATCGCCAGGTTTTTTCCATGTCACTGTATTCACTTTACCCCAAAAACCGATCGCAAGAGTCACTGGAAAAAAGCGATCGCCAGGTTTTTTTCCATGTCACTTTATTCACTTTACCCCAAAAACCGATCGCAAGAGCCACTGGAAAAAAGCGATCGCCAGGTTTTTTCCATGTCACTTTATTCACTTTACCCCAAAAACCGATCGCAAGAGTCACTGGAAAAAAGCGATCGCCAGGTTTTTTTCCATGTCACTTTATTCACTTTACCCCAAAAACCGATCGCAAGAGTCACTGGAAAAAAGCGATCGCCAGGTTTTGTCCATGTCACTTTATTCACTTTACCCCAAAAACCGATCGCAAGAGTCACTGGAAAAAAAGCGATCGCCTGGTTTTTTCCATGTCACTTTATTCACTTTACCCCACAAACCGATCGCAAGAGTCACTGGAAAAAAGCGATCGCCACGTTGTTTCCATGTCATTTTATTCACTTTACCCCAAAAACCGATCGCAAGAGTCACTGGAAAAAAGCGATCGCCTGGTTTTTCCCATGTCACTTTATTCACTTTACCCCAAAAACCGATCGCAAGAGTCACTGGAAAAAAAGCGATCGCCAGGTTTTTTCCATGTCATTTTTTTCACTTTACCCCAAACACCGATCGCAAGAGTCACTGGAAAAAAGCGATCGCCTGGTTTTTTCCATGTCACTTTCTTCACTTTACCCCAAAAACCGATCGCAAGAGTCACTGGAAAAAAGCTATCGCCAAGTTTTTTCCATGTCACTTTATTCACTTTACCCCAAAAACCGATCGCAAGAGTCACTGGAAAAAAGCGATCGCCTGGTTTTTTCCATGTCACTTTATTCACTTTACCCCAAAAACCGATCGCAAGAGTCACTGGAAAAAAGCGATCGCCAGGTTTTTTCCATGTCACTTTATTCACTTTACCCCAAAAACCGATCGCAAGAGTCACTGGAAAAAAGCGATCGCCAGGTTTTTTCCATGTCACTTTATTCACTTTACCCCAAAAACCGATCGCAAGAGTCACTGGAAAAAAAGCGATCGCCAGGTTTTTTCCATGTCACTTTATTCACTTTACCCCAAAAACCGATCGCAAGAGTCACTGGAAAAAAGCGATCGCAACTTGGCTATCTAGGGGTGTCCATTCCAATTGGAGCCTGCATGGACTTTGTAATTCCATCCACTGTGGATGGACCTTCTTCCATTGCGCACCCTCCTTTTTGAAACCCTGGTGTCTGATTCGATTCCCCTGCGCGGGTGCCCCCAACGCAAATACCAACCAACCTTATGGTTTCCTTCCCATGGTTTCATTTCATGGTGCGGTGCCGGATTTCCCAACCATCCACAGTACGTCTCAAAGACCAGTTAGCTGAGGACACGCCCCCAAGGACATGATAAAAATGGGCGAGTCGCCGTGAGTCCGCCCTGAGCACAAGCTCGATCACCCTAGGCTTAATGGAACTTTGCAACCCTTGGGTATGGCAGCAAGCCACTAAAGCCACTAAGATGAACAGATCCAAAAAAAGAAAGGGAAGACCCATATTTGGCTGTGGCTCAAAAAACTGGAATTCAAAAATGGCTTGCCCTGGTCACCAGTGGCCAACGGTTTTCGCCCCTCCGATCGTTTCATTTTGTTTCCACACCCCTCTTTGTTTCCACGAGCGACTTGGCCCATGTTAGGCCTGAGCCCGGGTTCAACCCGAGAAAATTCACCCAGAAACCCCACAAAAGCTTGAGAAATACGAGGCACTGAAGGCTCAAAGTATTGACCTAAGCCCACAACGAACACTCCGTTGCCCAAAGGACCCGGAAATAAAAGGTTAACCTTTTGGGGCCATGACTACAAATGGACCAAAAAGGGAAAACCAAAAGGTTAAAAGGTCGGCTTTGGGAAACTGAGAACAAACAAATGGCTGGTTGGGCTACCTACAAAAAAACTCGTGTCCCATAGTTCTGAGGCACAAACAGCTTCCCTCTGAAACCACAAACACAACTCCAGTTTTCAGAGGTCTTGCCCGAGGTTAGTCTTCCCAGTCTTCCCTGCTCTGCTCACTTCGATGAGTATAACCCATGAATAAATCCAGCATGCCCACTCATGGAGGAAACGCCACCATGTCGACAACTTTGAGAATCCCCTCCGCAATGCCTCAGGCGTCTTTCTTTGATTCTCCCCTCTGGCTTCAAGGCCCCAATGTGCCTTCGCCCAAGTGGAACAAAATCCACACACGCAGAGTTTCCCGACTTTGATAACCCAAGCCGTCAAAATCAGCTCACATGATCCCTCGCGATGGCCTGGAAGCGGCTTTGAGGCCGACATGGGCGAGAAAATTCCCAAGGCTTCGCCGGTCCCGGAGGCTCGCAGCTGCGCGAGATGCAGACAAAAACGGGATCCCTGCATGTGGTTAATCCTGGTGCCCGGATTCTGGGGTTCACGGCGAAGAGTTGCTGCGACAACTTCCGCTTGCACAAACAGTAGCGCGTAAAGCGAGGTTGCCAGAATCAAGACATCCTTTTTGTGGATCAAAGGCACAAGAGAAGGCCACATCCATTTGATCATCCTTGTTTTGAAGAACAAGTAGGCCAGGTCAATAAGAACATCCAGCTTTTGAAGGGCCGCACAAATCCGAAAGGGTGCCAAAGGACCCTCGCAACCAAAACGAGATCGGTTTACCCTCTGGAACTCGAAACTCTGGATCTTGGTGTTCTCCGTTCTCAAGGAATGGAAAAGCCCAAACAAAGTGGTCTAGAAGGCTTCCAAAAGCCCCACCGGAGCGGAGTGTGTCCAAATGTCTCTGAAAATTCGATCGCTCCTGGCAGGCGCATTTTGATCTCGAGCTGTCGAATGGCGGCAGTGGATATCATACCACTCCTGGCGCACCCAAAGGACACTTCTGCAGGTTTCATGGGAAAACCAGTCCGAGCGTTTTGCTTTTTTGAGGGAAACCCTGTTCAGCTTGGCTTCAAGAGAAACCGGCAGCAAAACCGAAGCCAGGGCGGTTCCATTTGGCGGTTGATGAAGAGGTCCTTAACATGGGATGACCCTTCGGGAAACACCCAAAAACATGATCTTTCACCATATGTCCCACCAAAATGAAAAAGGAAAAAGTTACCCATGCTAGTTTGTGCTTTTTCTTTGGGGGGGGCACAGGGAATACTGATCCACCCCCCATTTCGACAAACGGGTCCGGCCCTTGGTGTCCAACGAGGTCGCTCAAAGTGCGCCTCGTCGTTCCGGCTCTCCACGGGAAAGCAGGCCCGCAGCGTGGCGAAGTCGCGATCCACGTACCTGCAACATGAGCGCCCGCTGAAATAGCGTTCTTGTTTCTTTTAAGAAACACACAAACAAACAAGCAGAAAGGTGAAAAAATAAGCTCAGGTGATATCCCCAACAGCATGCGGTGCTCTTTTTAGTGCTCGCACCACCCCGCAGCCCTCGCAGAACCTCGTGGAACCCTAGTGGAACCCTGGTGGAACCCTCTTGGAACCTTACCTCAGGGCCGCCCCGGACCACCCCAGAGCCTATCTGGGCTGAGACCCCAAAGCTTTCAGCTGTTGGGGAATGAAAAAACCTACCGCTTGGAGTGTTTCAGAAGTAAATGTATCATTTATTCAAGCCCCAAAAAGTACCAACTTCGGAAACACACTTCATACCTGGAGTGGTGATGGAACTGGTGGGGTCCTTTCTCTGATGCCCATGGGATAAGCGATGTCCATGAGTCCCCTTGGCTGACAAAAGTGGCCATGCCGTTCTGTTCCACATCGTTCCACCATGTGAGTCATAAAACCTGATAGTAACATGGTCTACCCAAATCCATGTTTCTGGAAATCGAAAGGCGGGTCTCCGCGCCCAATTCCTGGCTAACAACTGCCTTCTAACTTTCAGCTACCCGAATCGGCTTTGAGGTCGTCCCAGACGTTAACCTGCCGAAGGTTTCGGGAGAAATCCAACCGAAAGCTCTTGGGCCCCAGACCAAGAAACAACATCCCGCCTGGCAGCGCCAGCAGCGAAGGTTTGCACGTCCGCATGCTCATCATGGACCTGGAGTGACAAGCTCGGTGTTCCTTCCACCAGAAAAGGGATAGTTTACAAAAAAGACAAGCCCTTTCCAACGTCTTTTTCCTCAGCTGAAAGCGGTTTGGGGGTCGCCTCGGCCAAGAGAAGCGATAAGGTGGGTGATTTAGGTTGCAGCTTTCCGGAGCCCTCCGAGTGGACTTCGATGGGGAACGCCTTGAAAGCGAGAAGTGAGACCGAGATCAATGCTCAGTTTTCTGGTCAACCCGCGTAAGTTATGAGCATGGCCGTCCGTCCCAATTACAGATCCATATCACTTTCTCGCGAGCCCAGCGGCCGAACGAAGAACATAGATACCAGGGTTCGGTTGGTTTTAAGGGAAGTCCCTCCCCAAACAGAGGAAAGAAGGGCACCACTGGGCAAGTGGGCAAATAAAGCCCGAAACCAGACGGCCCCCACCCTGAGCTTACTTCTGCAAACAAAAGCAAGCTCGACCCCTCCCCGTGCAAAAAAGTGGTCTCTTCAGATCGCAAAAGTGGAGAACCGGTTCCTCCAAAAACGACGATCAAAACACGTCCAAGGAGTATCCCCAACATCGGCCAAATGATCGTTTCCTGGCAATTCACAGAAGCCTTGAACCTCTGATTTGCGAGCCCATGAGTGTGCGCGTCCACACCAGGATTCGGTATGTCGCCAAAGGAGCTATGTGACATGGCTTTGTTTTTCTTTTACTTTTTTTGCTGGGAGGGCATGTGGGCAGTAAACGAAATTTGTCCGAAAACAGGGAACTCACTTGTTGATGTTTTGAAGGGAAACCAAAAGGGAAACGCCGCACTACGAAGGCGGCCATGTTTTCAGACCCTCAAACCTTGTTGATCCATGGTCTCTGATGCCAAATGGCCTATGGCAATTGTGGGCCTTGTAGCTGCAAGGTGTTGATCAAGGGTTAGGTATGTGGTGTTGAAGTTCAATGTTGGACCCTTTGGTGAACATCATTCATGTTTCACCAAGCGCTTTTGAGGTGGACTCAAACCAAAAGGCTCACAAGTCAGGGTTTGTATCAGGGTTCATTTGTGTACGTGCCAAAGCTACCCAAACTAAGGACACTTCGACTATGAAACCAACCGCAGGGTAGATATGGATAAACCCAGGATAAGCCAAGGATGACCAACGGACCCCTCCCTCCTAGGATTCCTGAATTGAGGCATGCAACTGCTAAGTCCCGAAAGCACTTCTGCCTCACCATCTAAGCACACTAGTCCGAAGCACACTAGTCCACTCCATGATCCTTCTCGGTAAATCATATTGTACCAAACCCCGGTGATGTCACCATAGCTCGCCCACAGTGTCATTTTGGGAAAATGGCCTGGTATATGAAAGAACCGGATCAACCAGGAATCACCATCTATTGTCTACCACAAGCAAAAAGGACACCTACTGTGGACGGACAACATCCCACTCCGCCACCAAACGTTCTCAACTCAACAAGGGAAGGCGGGGGCGGGCCCCTTCCTTCAAGTTCGGGCCGTTTCGTGTCGGAAACTCTCGAGGCCGGGGTGAAAGCGACGAAAGATGTTTTCCAAGGAAACATGGCGGACTGTTTTCGGTAGAGCGCATGTCCCCCAATGAACCAGAGACAAATCCGAGCGAACCTCCTGTGACACAATCAGATGTCCCGGGATTTCCACTTGCACAGTTCAAATCAAGCAGGGTCTTTCTCATTTTCTTGGAGGGCCCAGGGTTGATTGCCCCCGTGATTTCATCCACAAACATCCAAGGGGTTCCTATTTTGAGACAGACCATGTATGGTAGAGAACCACGAGAACTCCCACCCTTCAACAACCAACAAGAATTGCAAAAAAAATGGTTTCTCTTATGAGCCTTGGGATCCACCAATGGCCTCTCAAAATCGGAGCCCTTTTCGGCTGGAAAGCCGCCGGGTCAGGACCAAATCGGGATGTCTTGGACACTGGGCCGCTTTACTTGGAGCGAATTCGGCGAATGAGTTGAGTTGGAATGACCCCGGAGAAAAAAACAAAGCTCAGGTGATATCCCCAACAGCATGCGGCACCCCGCAGAACCTCGTGGAACCCTCGTGGCCTCGTGGAACCCTCGTGGAACCTGGTGGAACCTGGTGGAACCCTGTTGTCACCTTACCTCAGGGCCGCCCCGGACCACCCCGGAGCCTATCTGGGCTGAGACCCCAAAGCTGTCAGCTGTTGGGGGGAAAAAACAAAAAGAAGAAAAAGAAAGAAAAAAAAGAAAACAATCCATCCGATTGCTGGTGCGAGAAGCAGGAAACGAGCGAATGACCCCTATAAATTAATAAACCACTGAGCACCAGCGAGCTAGTGGTCGATCCAAATGTTCATCCACTGATCGCATCTACCAGATCTGTGCCAGTGCCGGTCAGCTGGATGCGCGGAAAAATCCACCGTTCGCGCGCGCGTGGGGGCAAGGTCCCTTGCGGATCTGGGCAAAAATATCGTACTTCGGCCGGAGGAAAAAAAAAAGAATCGGGACTCCCAATGAAAGAAACCTTCATCCTGGGCTCCCGTTGCAGGCCCCACCACCACCCCCCCCCAGCTCAAGTCGAGCTGCCAAGCACAGCTCGCGACATCGCTCCAGCGCTTCGCCTCGGAGCAGCAAAAAAACGGATTCTTTGTTGCCTCGTTAAAAAAAGGAGACCCCAGAAAGCCAAAAAAACAACAGATTTAAAAATAAAAAAGAAGAGGAAAAAAAAGCGGGGGAGCTAATTCTGGGAAAGCATGGTAACCAAATGGGAACTATACCCTTCTACACCGAAATCCGGTTACCTACTATAGGGAGGACTTGGATCCACTGTTGGTGTTCGTTCGATATGCTTCTCCGGCAACCACCAACCAAGAGAGGGTCGTAGCTCAAGTTCTTGCAGAAGAGTGAGACAATTGCAAGCCGCAAATGAGCCACGCTCAAAATGCTCTCTGTTGCCATTTCGTTGATTGCCCCAATCCCGAAGCCTCAATGAACCCAGCCCAAATTTCATCAAACTCGGCTCACGACAGTGCAGACCAGCTTGGCAGCTACTCTAGGGTGAGCCCATGGTATGTTGTCCAGTCACAGATATCGGAAGAACACACCATTGTGCACCGAACCCCCGCAAATGTTCACTTCCCTCGCGCATCGGCCAAAAAGAGTCCAAGTTGTTTGTACCGCTAAACCGGCTTTTCCAAACAGCTTTGAATTCCTGCGGAAGTAGCTCTCCCTTTGCATTCGAAACACCAGCCTTGGCTCATCCAGATCCCCGCAGCATCCTTCGGGCACGGCGCATTGGCGCAACCCACGGGCACGACTTCTGGGCGAAGCGCGAACCATTTCCTGCCCTGGGGCAGCCCCCGGAAACGAAAGCTGAACTGATTTGGGCCTTGACCAAAAAGGAGCCCAAAAAAAAAGGAAACCCGAAGAGGCGAAAAGCTCGGCCCCATTTTCCTTTACCCGCCTTCACTAAGCTCGAGCAAGCCTGCGTGGATTGAATTGCACTGCTCACTCAGACCGGGTTGCCCGAAGCACCACCCAAAGAAGGGTCCCCCAAACGACTGGGAAGACCTTTTTCGCCCGCAGCCACTGCACAGCGGCTTCGCCGGTCCTCCCCAAAGTCGCCGGCATGGGTCAGGGGCCTGGCTCGTTCACGAGCGCCTTCCTTTCAGGACGCGCTAAAGGGGAAGGACTGCGTCCGGCCCACGCCAGCAACCCTGTTTCGCTCAGTTGCCCAAAGGACCTGCTTATAAAAGGTTAACCTTTTGGGACCTTTACTAAAAATAGACCAACAAGGGAAAACCAAAAGGTCAAAAGGTCGGCTTTGAACAACTGAGTTCTTGAGCAAAAGTTGTCACGCCAACTCAAAAGGGCCTCGTCTTTACACCTTCTGCGGCTTCTTGTCAGCTCCGCCTCGCCTCCCGTGCGCAGAAAAAGCATCAGCCTGCTCAAGTCGCATGGCCACATTCCTTGGCGATCTGTCCGTTCGCCTATCCTCGCCAGCATTCTCTGTCTGCTTGGCATATCCGGCCACCATGTCTCCTATGTCTCTCACATCGCGCGAGCCCGTTGCAGAAACAAAGCTACTGCATGCTGTATACTGACCAGGGAGAAAGATGCGTTCGAGCTCTGCGGCTCTGCCTGCTCTGGATCACCTATTAGCACTCTCGGACTCTCACTGTGCTGTGCACTGCTGAAAGATGAAGGGGCTCCTCTACTTCTTCTTCCTCTTCTTCTTCTTCTTCCTCTTCTTCCTCTTCTTCCTCATCCTCCTCCTCGATCTTCCTGAGCTGTCTTTCTTGTTCTGAGACCACGGTAGACATCAAGCGGGCCCGGTTGAAAGGCCGACTAGGCAGGATTTGCAGTCGACCGGGCTCTCTGCACGGTTGACTCTCGCTGCCAGGTTATCATCCCCTACTCTTGGGTAGCTCTCGAGGGAGGACGGGTGCCAAGCGCTCGTGGTCCAAGTTGAGTTGGGGCGTGCTTTTCTTGAGGGTCCAGTTGCATTTAAAGCTAAAAACAAAAAAATAGGTATGTGTCTTGCGGTACCCCATTGTTGAGTAGGCTTTTTAAAGGGCAATCAAAGGACTACCGCCTGTCTGTGGGCTCCGCCATAAGACACCAACGCCCGTTTCTTGTCCCGCGCCTGCCGTTCTCGTCCAGCAAGTGGCCCGCCTTGTGCTGACCCTGGGGCACTACCTCGATCGGGTCGATGGGCCCGATCGGAAGCGAGGAGGTGAATGGCTTTGCCGTGCAGCTTTCAGGTTTTGGTTTCTGGGGAGCTGGCTGATCGATTTCGGTTTCTCCTTTCGGGTTGATGGGTTTTGGAGAGCAGCGATAAGGTTGATGGGTATTCAAGGGAGATTCGGTTCCGGGGAAGTTGCCGTCGGGCTGTTGGGATACCACGTGAACTTACTTTCAAGTACCACGGCCCGTAATTCTTCGACAGCCCCGTGGATTTGGGAGCAAAAACCAACTTGTTGGGCCTTGAAAGTTGGATTTTAAAGGGAACGCCAACCTGTTGGGGGGCCTGACATACTCCCCGTGACCGGCTCATTGGGCGACTGCGTTCACCCACTTGCCACGGGCATGTGCTCCGCCTTTTGTCCTGCGAGAATCGGTCCCCATTTGAGTCATCATCAAAACCCGGTATTAAAATGATCGACCCGGAACCCTGTCAAGAATTGAGAAGGCGGATATCCGCAGCTATTTATGGTTGGGATTGTCCCTTACTAACCTTCATCTACCCGGGTTTTGATTGTGGCTCATTTGACTAAGGTAGACATCTTTGGGTTAAAAATGGATGAGTTGACAAGTGGAGGGCAAACCAATCTAAACCAGAACCCATCGATTTCCAGCCAGGCACCTATGAGATGATTCTTTGGGAAATCAACCTTTGGGTTGACGTCTTTAAAAACAAAGTTGATGGCTTAAGGCAAACAACAGGTACCCCTTGATTGGTGGTGTCCTTTGTAGGGAACCCCCGCCCCGAAGAAAAAAACAGTGCGGTCTCTTCAAAAAAAACACCACGAAAAAAGGGAACCGCCAGAAATGTTTGGGAGTCCAAATCCGTGAAATTCGTCACCAGCAGACCTTTTGGGGTTTTAGTCACCTTGTTGGCATTTTCCAGAATCGGGCGCTTACCTAGGTCCTGGGTACCCTTTTTTCTGTAGTCTATTTTAGTAGGGGAACCCTCCCCCCAAAAAGGGTAAAAGGGCACTACTGGTAGGACCTAGTTGCCATTTTGGGGGTTCCCCAGGCTACTTTTGGCCCGCATCCAAAATGGGGTGGCCGAAGGCCCCCCCGCCTTAAAGAGGTGGTAGCCCATGGCTGCGGCCTGTGAGGCTTGGCGTAAGCGAAGGTCAAACCGATTCTTGGAACGCGACAGGTGTCCAAATTCTTTTTCGGGCAACAAGAGAGGCATCCATGTTGAAGAAGCCTCATATGTTGGGAGCAAAATAAGAGGCAAACCCATTTTGGAAGAAGCCTCACATGTTGGACCCTGCCTGGTGCAAATAGGCCAAGCTGTTCAGTTCCTGAGCATTGCTGCGGCACCGAACTCGTGGGTCCAGTTGCATGGGGATACGTGTCTAAAATTGAGGACCCAAAAACCGCGGGGCATTTCGCTGGGGATACCATATGGTGTTCACCTGTTATTCTGTCAACAGCTGAAAGGGTGGGGGTCTACCACGTTCAGGGACAAAAAATTGCGAGAGCCCTACCTTTCATGGGGGCTGGAGAGGAGGGAGGGGAGGGTGAGGGAGCCCAAATAAGCCTCAAATATGGTCTTCTTTAAGGGCTTGACAAGGGCTTAATTGGGCTCCCTCCCCCTCTTCCCCCCCCTTTCCAGGCTGCATGAACCTTGGGACATTGAAAGGAACCCAGCACGAAGCCACGCATCGCCAACGAACTTGCGCCGGCCTGCCACTGTGATCTTCCCCAAAGCATCGCCTAGAGTCTGCAAGACCTGGTGCTGATACTTTGGGGACAGCAACCCATTCTGTATGGGTCCGAAGAATGCGTGTGGGTGTCATGACTACTTCTTCAAGGCTCATGACGGCCTTTGCTTTGGGTGACAATGGTGGCACGACTACATTCTTCAGGGGCTCATAAAAATGATTTGGTGTCATTCTTTCGGTGGTCATGACCCCAGGGTCAGTCTTTAGGGGCTGGCCCCATCCTTGGAGACTCCGGTCCCCAGTCCCGAGTTCGATCCGAGCAGCGAAAGAGAGGTAGGCCGGCTTCGGCAAGCCCGCCAGCTGCGCGGGAAGCAAAGCATACCCGTGAGCCGCCCAAAAAATCTCAAGGAAGTACCAATTCCTAAGCATAGGTGTCCTGGCAACATCGATGGGCTTTCTGGGCAACCAAACTAACAGATCAAAAGGATACGTTCCCAAGCTGGAAAGAGTAAAAGAAGGAAAAAGGCCGGCCTTTCATGCGTGAGCTCCTCCAAGGTTTGATGGTTGCACGGGAGCCTCAGATTGACTGTGCCTTCTGCCTTCTGACCGGTTTCGTAAGCTTCGGATCGGTTCTAAGCTACCATCTGCTTGCCCAAAACATCATTTTGGAGCGCATCTGGAAGTAGGGCGCAGCAGGTCCAGACTAAAAGCTTAAGGGCTAAAAGCTCACTTTCAGGGATCTATACAGGGTCCCGAAATCTGCCAATCGACAAAAGCGGAGAGAAGCGATCTCTTGCCTGTTGAAGGATGATGCCGTCCGCCCCCTCAGTGTCAAGCTTCAGGTACCTTAGCAACAAACAAATGCAAGAAGGAACCAAAGAAGTCTGCGCATGTCTCGTGGTTGCGTTGCTTTTCATGTTGCGGAAGCAAACGCACGAGTGGAATCCTCATTGTGCCGCGTGGTAGGTGCTTAGGAATGAATGTATTTTGTCAAAAGCCTGGACGGAGAGAGCAAGGGAGAGAGAGAGAAAGAAAAAAAGAAAGAGAAAGCGACAACGACAGAAAGCGATAAACAAAGAAAGAAAGAAAGAAAGAAAGAAAGAAAGAAAGAAAGAAAGAAACAAAGAAGAGAAGAAGAAAAACAACGCTTGCCAAATGCTCCTTTTTGACCTTGCGGCACTCTGTTTCTTGCAGCCCGCTTTTCTTTTCTTTTTTTAAGTTTCTTGCCTTTTTCCCCACAATCTTGTGCGGGGTTCGTATTTTTACCTCTGCGCACCCGTCGCTCGCCGCGCCCGCCGCGCCCGCCTCACTCGCTCGCTCACTCACTCACTCACTCACTCACTCACTCACTCACTCACTCACTCACTCACTCACCCAGGTCATGCTGACACAGCCAAGATTCACGCAAGATTGCATCTCTAGACACCAGCGCGGTACTTTGGACCTTCGCCTGAATCCTCAAAGGGCCTTGCCTACCTGCGCGCCACTTACAGCGAGGAGCTGGGGCGTAGCGCTCACGCGCGGGAGATCCTCGCCACACAGGACCTTGTAGTCGGTTGGACACAGTCTGTTGGCACGTAGTGACAATCAGTAAGCTGCGCAGAACTCTTCGTCGCAAGAGAGAAGTTACGAGATCATCGCATGTGCGATCAGAAGATGTGGAAAAGAGCGAATCACAAAATGACTATGCAATCAGCGAAGAGATAATAGCGGGACTTTGTTGACATTTGGAGGACGTGTGACCTCCAGGGATTAAGGCGAAATCAAGGACGCTGCGCGGCACTCGTACAGGAATTTGCAAATCAACGAGGTTGGTGAAGCCGCCGCTTGCAGAGATGAGAAGGCCGAGGCAGAAAGGTGGTTCTTCCCAAGATTGGTTCTTGTGCTACGGTGATCCCAGAAGTGTGTTACCAAAACAGGTCGAGCTTCCAGAGTGGAAATCAGCCTGCCGCCAACGACACTGAAGCACTGCGCGCTAAACAAGTGGGAACCCTACATCAACAAATTGCAGAACGATCTTCCCCGCCCCGACAACACGGATGCTGGGATGTCCTTCAAAGCTTGGATGCTATGTTGAAAACTGTAGAAGGCGAGTCTGGCCCTGAGCATGAGCAATTCACTCCAGCGCCTCGCGGCACGGCCAATTACAAGTGATAAGCGTGGGTTGTCGTCCAAGTGGCCATGGCATAGGTTCAAGGGCCGGTTGATTCTTTGGCAGAAGACGCAATCTACTCCGCTGCAAGCTGTGGTACTGCAAGCTGCAGTGGCTTCTCGGCAGAAAGCATTGTGGTTCCCACGAGCATCTGGCACATTGAAGGCCATCCTCGGTCGCTTCCGGGTTCGATCCCCAGTCACGCGGTTCTTTGGCTGGCTGGTGCAAAAACACACATGCACTTGCTGCAATAAATGTACTTT